AATCATCATTCAATAATTTTCTTGTATCGTATCTAAATTAATAGAATGAGCAAATTTAATAAATTAGAAAAAAAAAACAAAGTTCAACTTAAAATGGAATTAATTGAACAAACAAATAAAATGAACCAAAGGGAATATAAAGACAAAAACAAATGACACTAAAATAATAAGTAAGCCTATAAAAATTATCTAAATTCATTCTAAAACCAATTGTTCCAACAGAGATTATTTGTAACTTGATAGGCTTGGATTTTAATTACAAGGAAAATTAGTATAAGTTAGAAAAAAAGAAAAAAAAAACACCAAAGTTTAAATTTGACTTGTTTTTCTCAACTTAAACTTACATCAATCTTAGCTAAAATAGAAGTGATTCGTGATAAAGCAAGATTAAACCAAACATGAAGTTGTACTGTGCCGAACACCTGTCTAAGTTGTCAATGGATCAAAATTAGTTTGAATTTGGTGGTTAAAGGATGGGAATAGAAATTATCCATTGTTGTTTTACAAAAAAAAAATAAAGATAAGAAGGAACGTTAACATCATCATTAATTCTTTTGTCTAGAAGAAAAATGGATTTTGATTTTATGCATTGTCCCATCTCCATCACCAACCTGTGAAGAACGTAGTCTTATACATGCATTATGCACATATATATAGTCACGTAACCAGTGTAACCAGTGCTAACAAAGCACAATAATGAAAAGAAGAAGAACAGTGTTGTGTACGAAGGTCAATAATACACAGATTCTGGTTCTGATAAAATGGTCGTAGTGCGGTCCAGGAGAGGATAACTCATTGCCATGCCTTCTGATTTTGGTCCAAACCATTAGCCATAGTTATAGGTGTTGGAGTTATCATAGCTAAACCAACACCTACCATGGGTTTTAGCTAGTTTATGTAAACCACATAATTAAGTAAAATCCAAATTAGAATCTACCAAATGATGCTCAAAAAGTACTTGGTTGAACTGCAAATCCTACTTCTGTGTGTCTTTTTTTATCCTATGTAGATAGAGATATCAAAGGATGTATATAGTAAAATGTTTCTATATCAAAATGATTGGAAGGGTAAAATTAAAATACCCAAGTTAATTAGATTTGGGCAATCCTAGTTCTTAGCTTTTTGTTTGATAGTTGAACTTGGCATTGGGAAAGTTTTTTTGTTTTCTAATTGATTTATTTCTTGTTAAAATAGTATTAAAAGAAAAGCCCGGAAAGAATGCTTTTCCCCATTGGATATAGCATGTTTAAATTAGAAAAATAAATACTTATAGAAGAATTAAAATTTTGTAGATTTTTATTTAGAAAAAGTTGGCTGCTTATTTTTAACAGCACATTAAAATAGGTCAAAGTTGTGTAAATAATATATTTAATCCTATAAGTTGAATCATACTTTCACTTTCTCATTGATAAAATTATTTAAAAAAAAGTTACTATATGAAAAAATGTGCTCTTCTTCTTGGATATCATAAACATTAATCATACTAATGATAGAATGAAAATACGAGACTAATTAGCGTGAAGTTCGAAGGATGTCTATTCTTTTCCGATAAAAAAAAGTTGCTTAGTCCAAGAACTTCTGACCATTTTTCCTTCTTCTGGGTTCATTAATGTCAAAGTTTGCGTTGCCCGAGGACATTGTGGTACATGCAGAGCAAGATTCCTATAATTTATAAATTATTCTTTGCAATAAAACATTGTCTGAACGAGTTTTTCAGAAAAGTTGTCATGTTTTATATGTAATTCTTGCCTTTGAGAACTGAGTAATGTAATGTCAATGAAATTCTTTATCTCATGGTTGATAATAGGATGGCATAAATACTTCTTTGGGCACATTTGTACACAAAATTTGCAATAGATATTTATTATCTTTAATTAATAGATATTTTAATATCCATTTATTAGTACAATAAAATTATTTGTAAATGCAGATATTTAATTATTTATAAAAATTAAAATTAAAATTTAATTAAAAGTAAAATTAATTTATATTTTATTAATTTAAATTTAATTAAAATTAAAATTTAATTTATATTATATTTTTTATATTTTTAAAATTTTATTTTAAAAAATTATAAAATATATTGTTTATTAAATATTTATAAACATTTACAAATGTTCATATTTCGATAAATAACAAATGTACTTTTATTTTTATTTCAGATCGAATAGGTCCTATGGGAACCATTATCATTTCTAATTGATAATTTGATTGGAGGACATTTAATTAGGGAAGCTACTTCACCCAGAAAAAGAAAAAAAGACATTATGTCTTTCTACAAGTCTCATCACATTTCTTTTTAGTATTTATATTAAAACATTAAATAAATAAAAAATAATTTTTTTACAGAAACAATTGTATAATTACCATGACATTATTATGAAGTGTTAATGCAAGTTAGAGTAGAATAGGGGACTAGGATAGGAAGTATATATAGCCATCCTTATTAGGGATTGTCTTTTATAAAAGCAAATTCTAATGTTTAGATTTAAAGTGAACATATGCCTATGATGTTCAAGGATGGCACCAAATTTAGGTACATCATTCTTTGGTTAAAGAATTCTATCTACTATCATTTTACAATCTATTTCAAAGATCACATTCTACATTCCTATTCCTATGGCTCACAAAAAGGTAAAACATATCCAATGCCTTACAAACATAAAAAGGAATAACATTTAAGGTAAGTAAGATGATTAATAGAAAAATATGATAAGAAGATTTAAAAGTTTGCATTTTTAATCTTAACTTTCTCCTTTGTGTCAATATCACAGAAAAATTAAGGAAAAGTTTTAAAATTGTGTACATAAAACCCGTGATCATTGCCATGTTTGCTTAACGGTTGCAGAGCTCTTATCGATCCGTAATGAATTGGTAATTAATTAGATAAATATAAATAGTTTGGTTATCAAAATTTAAATATATCTATTTTTATCTAAATATGTTATATGCTAAAATTAAATAAATTTAAAATATAAAATAATTTAAATTTTAATATATAATAAATCTAAATTTCAACGTCTAATATTTTTAAATTATATTAATGTCAATTTAACTAAATAAAAAACAAAAGTTAAAAATAAAAAAAAAATACTAATTAAACATTAAGTATAAGTATCGATGATGGTATTCTGAAACTGGACCAGCCAAGAAATTTGTCTTTGTATGCGCGTGGCTTGACTTGGTGAACTCTAATATCTAAACAAGGTAATGGATTATGAAGAACAGTACAGTAGTAGAAGAAGCAAAGGTGGTAATGATGAGTGATGAATGAAGAGAAGAGAGAAAGAAAAAGTTAGTGGCCTGGGAAGGGATGATGATGGGGTTATAGTCCTTAGAGACACAAAGGAAAAGAAGAAAAAAAGAAGAAAAAAAGAAGAAAAGAAGAGAAAAAGGTAAGGAGAGAAAGACATGAACAATGGGAAAAGAGGTACACCAGTAGGCACCAGCAACCCAAGGACCAAAATTGAATAGGACTGAGGCTGGGGTTGGGCCTGAAAAGGAGATGGTGGTTTTGTCCTTCTGACACACTTGCACATGGGGATGGCTGCTACTTTTGTTCCTCTCTAAGCCATTCTATCCCTTTCTCTCTCTTTCACACTGCCATTGAGAAAGACAAATGTTTCATTCTCTAATTTTATATTTTAGACACACCATCGTGGATTTTGGTTCATACCATTAACAAAGCTTCTTTACTTTAAACAAGACAACACCCTTTGGTTCATTACAGCTTACACAAGTATTTGAGCTTCAACACTTTGAAACTTATCTGATCCAAATTTAAAAAAGAATGAAACTTTCTTTCTGGGAGAGACAAATATATTATATTATAATGATAAATTGATGAGTGAGAGAGAAAAGACAGAGTTCTGTGATGTGGGGCTGTGAGATAGGGACTGCCCCTTCATCATTATGTTGACTTCACCCTACCCTTCTCACACCTTCTCGTCAAACACCTTTCACCGTAGCGAATTTTCCACCACGTCACTCTCTTCTTTTTTTCTTTTCTTTTTTTCTCCTTCCCTTGCCTCCAATGATGCTAATCACCAAAAATGCTCCAACCCTGTCACACCAAAACACCTCATTTTCAAACCTGGAACTGCTCTTAACAAGGCTTCGTGCCATCCTCTGTCTCGCCTGATATGGCTCTCCCCATCTTTACTTCATTCTCAATCTCACTCTTCTCTCATTTCCATCACAATGCAAACACACTATGCCCTTCTTCTGAAACCATCAAAATACTAATGTGCTTTCTCTGTTTGCATCACAAGAAAAAAAAAAAACACAACCATGATGATGGACGTTTGGTTATTTTCCTGTCTCTAACAATTGCATTGCTGTGTTTCTGTTATATGGATAGTGTTGTTTTGATATTATGTTAACCATCATTAATTAGAACAAGGTCTGTGAAGTGGATGAAGGGGTTGTTCACAAATACGACAATAAGTTTGAATTTACGAAATTATAGATTCTGAGAATACCTTATCATCTATATATTATGGATATGTTTGAATGTATATATATATATAACCTTTATTTACATATTATGAATATGTCCTTATCATCTATGTCTTAATCATAGGTAACATAAATACCATATTATTTCAATATAACTCCCAAGTGTACATTCTGTCGTTTCAAGGAGAATATCGTGATGGTCTTCAATTATAACTTCTCCAACTACTATCAGAACAAAGTTGATATTTTTTTCTTTCACTTTTCTGTGTTGTTTCTGTATGTAAACATGCTATATAAAAAGTTCAGTCTTTTATACCTGCTTGTTTATTTATATGACAAAACTAAACAAACTTATAAAAAGTTCACTCTTTTTTATCTCTCTTTGGTTGGTTGCAGTATGGTGAATGATTTATTTGGTTAGATAATGGCAAAATGGATGATGCTGGCATGAACTGGAGTAGGCCGAAAAGAAGCCATCAGAAAGTGAGCATTTATATTATGAAACATCTTTTATAGTATAAGGCTATCACGCAAAGTCAATATAAAAAGAGAAGCATCATTCCCCTCCTAGTAATTCGTAATGATGAGAACTCCAAAATTTTCAAAGTGGGTCCTTCCTTCTTCTCATGGACCCTACCCTCTATCCCCCACCACATTCCATATCCAAATTCTCAAAACATGTTAACAAGAATTCACCACAACATTATACAACAAAAGCTAACATTTTAATTAAATCAACACAAGAGAAACCGTTTGAGCAGCAAACAATAATATATATCACATGCCTTAGCCTCCCTGCAGTACCATCATCATCTATTATCTCTCTCAGCTACCACCTAACATTATACACATCATATTGATATGAAGACAAGAAATGAATGCCCTGTGTTCCCCGTTTCCCCATCTTCCTTGCAATGATTCGTCCTTTATTCCTCTGCAACCACTCCCTAAGGCTGGAGAGCTAGTGGTGTCTAGCTACCATTAATGAAGTTGAATATATGATGAACTGCTTCTGCAATGTCACTTGCTGAAAGTAGGCTACAGCCTTCTTCAATCTGCATTATTACCACACCACGCCAAAATCCATTATTTGTCACTCAAAATTAAAGAAAGGAAAAAATTCGAGTGTAGTACAGTCAAAGAATATACTAATGTTAAATGAATAGTGATTTACTAAAGGTCCGAAAATAAATTCTTCCTGTAATTATAATTATAATTGTAGACAATGTTGGAAATAGGGAAGGCAGGTTTTGCTTAGATTGCAAGTCAGAAAATAATAGTACACTGACTTGATTCCTCTTTGTAGAGTTGACCATATTTAAAAATAAAACAATTGAGGTGAAAAGACATAGTAATACCTTGAGATTGAGGGAGTAAAGGACAGAAGTCTCTGAGGAGGTGATGTTGAGGTGCAGAATGGTTAGCCTTAGGTCCTCTAAAGCAACAATGACCTTTATCAATTGCCCTGGTTTCCTTTGGCACTCAATTTTCAAGTTCACATGGGTTTGAATCAAAGTCACTTTTATATCTGCTGCCTCTGACTTGTTTTCTGCTTTCATCTCATCTCCACAGCTCACTTCCTCACTAGTTGATGACCTCATTCCATAGCCATGTGGTGATGAAGATGACGGTGTTGGAGGGAGCTTACACAACACCGAGGAAGAAGAACCACCTCCCTCTTCATTCTTTCTCATCCTTTTTTGTGCCTCAAGGGACTGAAGCAACTGCTCCAACTCCTTCACAAAATCTATTGCACCACCAATTATTGAGGCTTGGTCACCCTGCCCCATGAATAATGATCCAATACATCAGTATCAATAAAAAGGGTAAAAAACAAAGACAATATTTTTCAGCTTCCCACACTGAAAAAGGTTGGATTTTTAGCACGGATAAAGCAAGAAAAGGGACTTGTAAAGGGAAAAAACTTTGGTCAGTATGGATATTGTTTTTCAGTCTGAATTGAAATTTTACCTCAGATTTATGTTGTAAATCTTAAACATAAATTTTTATTATCTAAATTATCAAAATAAAACTCCATTCTCCTGAGTAAACAAACAAAAAATTACTTAGAGAAAATGGGGTTGACAATTGGACTCCACATATCAAAAAGTTGATTGCATACAGTGCATACCCTTTGAATATAGGAAGGAGGCATGAGGGACCTTAGAACACTGAGATGGTCATTCATTTGACGCCGCCGGTTGCGTTCAACAGCAATGTGGGTCATGCGTTGGTTCTCCACATCTTCCGTGTTCTTGCTTGGCCTTGTTCTCTTTCTCTTTCGCCTTTCCCTTGTGGTTGCTGGCTGAGATTTGGGGCATGATTGTGATACTTTGTGTGGTTCCTGGTTGCACTCATAGCTCACTTTCTCAACACAAGAAAATGAAAGTGGGTGTTGGAGCTCATTGCTTTCTGACTTCACCGGTGACTGCATCTCCAACATGTCATGTGTCACACAACTCTCTAGCTCCAATGCTGCTTGAACTTGTGCTTCCATTCTTGGAACATAGGTCATTCCCTCCCATGGTTTCGTAATGTGCTGCAGCCTCAGAAGTGTTTGAAAGTTTGGTTCTTTCAAAGGGAAAAACTGTGGGGATTCCACACTCTGAAGCATCTGAAGAAAAGGCATCTTGTCCTCTAAACTTGATATCAGAAGCTGTTCTTCCTCCTCTAGTCTCAGGGTCTCTTCGTCAACCAGAACTTGGTCCAAACAATTCACTCCCAGGGGGTCTCCAATGAACTGCTAGAGAGAGAATTTAACACACGAAGTGAGAAATAATGGCAAGAGAATGAGGTATGGGTTTTAGTTCACTCTCACACCCAAGTGAATTAAAAAGAATGAAGGAAGGAATATACGGTTCCATTAATGGTGTTGGGGTTGGGTCAGAATGGAGAAGAGAGTAAGTGTATACAGGAAAGTGAGCAATAAAAGAAGAACTAAAGAGGAATGTCAAAGAAGGGAGCAGATACATGTATTTTCAGAAAAATAGTAACACAATGGTGCATTTAATGCAAGCGTTTTGAAGAGTAAATGCAGTACTTTTCTTGTATCCAGAAATGGGGTTGGATGAAAAGAAAAAGGAAAAGGAAGAAGAAAGGAAAGGTGTGGATGGGAGAGTAAGGAAAGTAAGTAGAAATTAGAAAATAGTAGTTTTAGTTAGAAGTATAATATAGTAGTAGTAGTAGCAGTAGAGTAAGCAACACATACACAGGAATTGAGGGGTCCTTGGAGCCTCTCCATCAAAGCTGAGCAGTGATCAAAGTATATGGTCTTAAATGCTGCTGCTACCTTAGGCCTCTACGAGGGTGACCAACATTCCGTATGGTAGTGATACTAACAAAAGAATGCTAATAAATGTAATCCCTAAGGAGAAGCAGAGCGAGACCCCATATGAGTAACTAACACCCCCGCAATATATTCTGATGGCTTTGCTATAGCTTATATATATACATATATATATATATATATAGATAGATAGAGAGAGAGAGAATAGTAATAATAATTTAATAATAATTTAATAATAATTTAATAATAATAGAAACAATAAATAATGTGCTTTGAAGAAGTTTGAGGTCACACAACAGAAGCAGAAGTAGAAAGTAGGGGATGATATGGGAAGAGAGTTAGAGAGGGATTTGGTAAGAAATGAAAGGTGGAAACTTCTCAACTGGGGTTACAAGAGATATGCTTTGCAATGAGATGATGCATTCATTTGAAACAGTGTTGTGAGAAGTTGGTAAGTGAGTGTGTGTGAGAGAGAGTGTGTATGAGGGAAGGAGTTACTTGTCTGGTTTACAAGGTCCCAAGCATTATTGGCGGTGGCAGTTTTGTCCAGCAGCGGGGACAGGCAGTTGTGGGACTCTCTCCCACCTTTCTATGTCTTTCTTCTCTCTCTTTCTCCCTCATGACATATGAGAGAGAGAAAGTACGGCAAAGCCAGGGAGGATTTTAATAATTTAGAAAATAGAAAAAGAAGCAGCTCTGGAAAGGCCTTCTATGGATTGTGTGGTCTGCATGATGATGATGATGGATCATGTCCAATTTCCTATTCAGGCTAATATTAGTTACACATAAGAACAAAATCACATAGCATACATCATATTTTTATTATTTTCTCAATCACGCCATTTTCAATGTGTATTTCACAATTCAAACATACTCCTAATAGCTAAAAAAGTGATGGTCACATTCCAATATTATAGAGTATGACACTCGTAATATGTTGTAACTCGTTTAGTTTCAAGGTATAGCCTGAAATCTTTTCAAATAGTGTGGTTTACAGAAAAGGATTTTAAGGGTTTTCAGAAAGAATATAAAACAAGCATACCAAATATATTAATTATCAATATGACATTACTTTTTACTTTGTTTCTATCACTAAAATTTATACATTATATCTAAAAATTTGGAATGATCATCAGTGTTTGACTTCTACTTATTTGTAGAGAAAGTAAAGGAAAAAAAATTATTATATCTATTACCATTTCTCATTCAAGTCAAACTTATATGATATGTCACGAAAGACATTCTAGTATTGGACAATTGATTGTTTTGCTTTGATTGAACTCATTCATGTGAAAATACTTTCATAAATTGCACAAAATTTTTCTAAAGTTAATATCTGCAAAGCATTATATTCTTTTGCTTTAATAATGTCAAGGCTTGACCAAAGAGTTGTTGCACAAGTTTGAACCCATACGAACATCAATAACATTCTTTGTGTCTATGACAGTGAAGCTTCGGTGTTGAACCTTACTTCCTCTTGTTTCTAGTGTGATGTAGCTTTAGTTGAAGGTTATATATCGAAGCTCCACTATACTACTTGAGCTGGTGATAAAAACTGCCATATTCGACTTTTGTAATTTATAACTTTTTTTATTAATTATGCTATTGGTTGCAAATTTCTATTGTAATTGAAAACATTTTTTTAAATATTTTATTTGTATTGTTAAAATTTTTATTTTTTTATGCTGTGTTTAGTTTCCTATTTTCTCATGTTATATTATGTTGTATAACTTTTATTACATTTATTATATTAATTATTGTTATATACCATGTCTTACTGAACACTAGTTCATAAAGTTATGTTTGGTTGATGAAACAACATGAATAGCTTATTTGATAAACGTAATTACATAAATATTGTTGAACCTTTAGATAGTATAGTTTGATAGACATGATAAAAAAATAATGTAATGAATAAGTAAAGGAATAGGAAGAATAAATGAGATACAATAAGTTATATATATATATTTTGTTTTCTGATATTAGTGGATTTGCATAGAGTAATATTATTAATGGGATTCATTTGTTTATCTTTCTCTATGTTTATGATTATTTAATAAGAATGTCATTGAATGTTTTATTCAAATGGAATTCTCACTGAATTTGATTATCTAACCACTTTAAGGTTGTCAAACTAGTTTAATGAAGTATCATTGAAAAATATAAATATCATTAATGTTAATGGTGTTTAACAATGATAAAGTTAACCAAAATCATCAACAATATCCTAAGGATGAAAGCCCTATAAATAGTGATGAGGGTGTTGGGACTAGGAAACTATAAGGTCAACTTTAATGTTGCATAAAATAAAATTGTCATGATATTCAAGGAGTAGGATAAATTTTAAATACTTTAAATTTGAATATTCGCTAAAAAATTAATAAAATTCATCAAATAGTTTATTAAATTGAATAGTAATTTGATAAATTTCAAAACATTTTAAAATAAACATAAATATGACTCTCTGTTTTTTTCAATTGTTTGTTTTAATTTGAATTTTTATGATTTAATTTATTTTTATATATTATTTTCATTCTTTTTTTCTTGGATAATTGTAGTGTACTTCTCTTTTTTGTATAAAATTCTTACTAAATTTATTTAATTTATAATTTACATCAATTATTTTCTATGTATGAAAAATTACTTTTATGCTGCTAGTATCTAGTATTACATGACTTTAAGTTAATTATTTAAAGTAGTATAATTATATCAATGTATCCAACATAAAATTAAATAATTTAAATTTCTATACTTGAGTAACACGTTTATTTAATTTGTTCTTCCAAAATATTAATTTTACTTGTACTCAATTTTATTAGAATTTTTTTCTATTTTAATTTAAAAATTATTTCAACTTAAAGTGATATTTTAAATTTTTTTACATGATACTATTTTACAAATAAAAATACTCACAAATATGAAATAATAAACTATTATCCTATTAAAAAACTAGAACAAATTTTTTTAGTCAAAACAAGTTACAAGTTTTTAAACATTTCTTTATATTTAACAAAATATGATTTTCAATATAAGTACCCTTTCATTACTTTATAAATCTTACAATTAATACATATTTTTATTTTATTTTATCGTTCATAACTTTTTTTTTCCATTTTTACTTTTCATTCTTCTTTATTTAATCTAAATAATTTTATTTCTCATTTTGTTTTTCTTTCTTTATTTGTTTTTTCTTTTTTACTATCTCACTTTTAAATTTCTAAATGAACTATTGATTTTGAGACCAAAAGACATGGTTTAGCTGAGTTGTTGAAATCAATTTATCGTACTCATGGATAGCAAAGGGAGCAAGTACAAGGTAAATTATCGTTCTTGTTCATGCTTTTCTATGTAACACTGTATCTATATTCTATATCCATTCTTCCTGCACATTATATTACAATAATCCAACCAGATTCATACTAACCTTCTGCTTATATTAAAACTATGCTAGTGCTCATAATTAGCTAAAAGACTAAGTAATTTTTTTAAATATTTTAAATAATATTCATTCACCTCATGACAGAAGAAACAACAAAGTAATCATATAATATTATTTTTTTCAAAAAAAAAAATAGATTAATTTTAAAATGTTTCTGTCAAGCCAACAAAGAGAAATTAAAATTTTATATTTGAGGAAATCGTCTGGTTTAAAAAGATATCTAATTTATTATCATTAATCCAAAAAATCCTGTAGAAGTTGACTCATGTAAGGGCCCACATCTGTGTATTTTGGTCCAAATAAATTTTGGACTGGGTCCAAGCAGCAACCAGCTTTTAGATATAGCATTCATTATGTCTGAACATGGTTTTGTTTTTTGATAGGATCATTTTTCCAAGAATGTGTTTTTATTTTTTCGTAATCATAAGATTTCAAGCATAAAAAATATAAAAAACACAACTTATTTATATCTCAACAAATGAATATTTACCAATAGTTTACAGTTTAAACTTTTAACTATTCTGCTTTTATCTGATATATATTCATAATTGAAAGTTGTTTTGGCTATAGTTAGTTAATCAATAATACAAAAATAACATTTCATAGCAAACTTGATAAGGTGGACCTAATGGTTGTGGATCGGTGTATGTGTCAAGAAAATACTTAATTTTAAGATTTTAACAAATGAGTCACGATATATAATGTATGAACATGAAATATGATACTTAAAACAATCAAATTAATGGAACAAAATAGAATAATGCTTGATTTTGTTGTGTAAAGAAACCAAATAGTGAATAATAATTGGTATAGGGAGACATGTAGGACTACCTTATCATTTATATATGATGATGCACATCTTGAAGCTATAATCAAGAATATGATTTTAAAAAAAGAAACTTAACTTACTTTTAGATTGATATAGAAGATAAAATTTATATTTATTTATTATATTATAAATTTATTTTATTTTTAATTGATATAAGATTTCCAATATATTTTTTTATGTTTCAATATACACGTTAACTTTAAAATTAAATATTTATAGATAATTTGATTTCATATAATTTAGTATGTTTAAAAAACAATAAATTGAAGTAAGATAAACTTTTTAAATAATCACAATACTAAATTTTAAATTTAACTTAATTTTACAAAATCAACTTAATGAATTTTAAGATAAGATTATTTATATATTATAAATTTATCTTATTTTTATGAAATCTCATTTAATAATTAAGTTTATTTATTAATTAAGTTTGTAGAAGTGGAAGATGAAAGTTGAAAGATAAGATAGAAAAAGTGTGGAGGGCAGTTGATTTAGCAAGCATATGGTAGAATTGGATAACATGTTATTAACCACGTACGAATGAATGTAGGAATTGTGGAAAATGGGAC